CTCCTCTCTCTCTCTCTCTCTCTCTCTCTCTCTCTCTGTGCACATGTGCTAGAGGCCCGGACAAGTAGAGGCCCATCTTTGCTTATGGCTAACAAATGATAACACATTTTTGACAGCCCTCCGCTATGGGCTTTCGCTGTATTTTTCTTGCTCCTCAATGTGTACGGTAGGTCCTATATACCCACCCTTTCATCTTCCATTTCTCCTCTATTCCTCCATTTTTAGTTAGGTACTCTCTCTTATGACTCTAATCTCTCTCTTTTTCTCTCCTGTAGGATGGTACACGTTTTACTGGCTCTCATTCGTGCCACTTATTGTAAGCTCCCTAAACTTTAGGAAATACTTCTCGTATTTGCTTTGAGATTTTTAATTTGTATTTTAGATGTTGGTCATCTTCAGTGCAACTCATGGAAGCGCCCGAAATTTTAGTGGATATTTTGATTTGTGAACTTATGGTATGCTCCATATGATCATAATAACACCATGATCATGAACCATTCTCTCAGTGGATTGGAGATCATGGTGGGAGCTGTCTAACAAACAATTGTCACTAATGAACTTGTAAGGGAAAGGAGCTCGTGTCGTGGTGGTAGCAACCCCACACCCTAGTCATCATGTTGTGGTTTTCATTTTTACTGACACCACCTTAGTAATACTTTCAAAAAACTAACTTCTAAACTATTTGAAAAAACTGGCAGGGGCTGTCTTCCCTATTGAATTGCCCGAACAACCTACCCTTCCTCCAATACTGTTCAACCTCTTGATTTTTTTTTTATTTTATAGTTCAGTGGAGAAAGTATCACCTACTCGTGATAGAAATGGAACTCAAATATCTCACCTTATGGAGCCTGACACTCTGATCACCTGGCTCCTTATAACCAATGCATCCTAAACTCACTTGAACCCTACCCAAAACATATTATGATCGATATAGTAATATAACAACATGATCATATGGATTTATGACTTGTTCTTATCTAATGTTTGCACACGTGATCACATTTGGTTGTAGATACTTCTCCTGGTAGGAATGAAGATGGAAGTCATCATCATGGAGATGGCTCTTCAGATCGAAGAACGAAACGCTGTGGTGAAAGGAGCCCCAGTAGTAGAACCAAGCAATAAGCTCTTTTGGTTTGGCGCCCTGAATGGATCCTTTTTTTGTTACATTTCACCTTGTTTGAGGTTTATTTCATTCTCCTAAACCAATCAAACCATCTCTCTCTCTCTCTCTCTCTCTCTCTCTCATATGTGTTAATCTTCTCTGTATAGTTTCGGGATGAATATTGGGTGGGGTCGACCCGACCAGGTCCATATCTAGACCAAAAGATTGGACCCGACGAGTCAGGGCTGGGTCCACTTGACCTTGATCCGACCAGGTTGGGTTCTTGGTCTGGCTCCAACTTAAATCTTGTTGGGTCAAGTCGAGTATGGGTCGAGGCTGACGCGACCCGACCCAACCTAAATATATTAATTCAAATTACATATAAATAATACTAATTATATATTATAAGATATACAAAAACTATTTTAGTATATCTTTTATTTATAGACTTAGACCCAAACCATGTCGGGTCGGTCTGGGTATAACTTAAACCTAGTCAAGTTGGGGTCGACTTGGACCCAACCTAACCCATTCTCAACCCTAGTATTGTTCCAATTTTATTGGCTCCAAAAAGATATAAAATCTTCTCTGTCTTGGATCTCTCACTCATGCTTAAGAAAATGCTTATTTAAGAATTAAAGTTAGTTTTGATTCTTACCCGATAAAACTAATTATCTTTACGAATTCTCCAGAACGCATTCCAAATGGCATTCTTCTTGTGGACTTGGGTAAGCACCAGATTACAACTTCTCTTTCATTGTTTACTTCTTCTATAAAATGATCGAATTTAAATTATAAGTTTCTGCTTTGTTAAACATTAAATCATCCATATTATTATGACTTGTGCTGATACAGTACGAGTTCGGGACATCATCTTGCTTGCACAATAACTTGGTGGGCGTTGTAGCACGGGTGATGATGGGAATGGCATTGCAGTTCCTTTGTAGCTATAGCACTTTCCCCCTTTATTCCTTGGTTACACAGGTATAACAAATCATTGATAGCAGTGGTTACAAAAATCGAAATTGAAATCAGAATCAGAGCTAGGAAATGGTCCAATTCCTAGACTTGGGGATTCCCGAGTCAGATTGGAATCATTGAATTATGTTTAACAAAAAGTTCAAAAAAACAAAAAAACAAGAAATAAGTAAATAAAATTGGGAGACTCAGGTGATATTGGGATTTTATGGTCCAGAACCGCTAGCCTACTGAGCCGGTAAAATGGCGAGTTCACTATGCAGATTCTGAATCACTGCTTGACAATAATGTGATTATCAATATTAAGCTCTAATCACCCCTTTATGGACAAAGATTGTTAATACCAATCCTTATAATGTGATCAATAATGATTAGAGGCTCTTATCTAAGTTGTAAAAACTTAGACGCTTTGACTCGTCTAGTGGCTAAGTTTTAGAAAAGAAAAATTTGGAATGTGGATGTGTCTTTATGTAATTTTTCTAATAATTTGACTAACAAATTGCCTACTCGTAGCAGAGTCAGCTGAGATCCCATGAATAGCACCACATGAAAAAGGTTTTCAGCTTTTCATACAAAACATTGAAAACTCTCCGAGTTTCTCCAATGTTATTGGTTGACTTGGTAATCATTATTTTTTCTAATTTTATTATTTGGGACGGCCAGTCCAATCATCTTGGCGGTCATCAATCCACACCTTGAGATTTTGTTTTCATACATTCACTTCACACATCATTTTCTAAAAACTTCTTACACAATTTGCTGTCCAATTTACTTTTTTACTTGATGAATTCTTCAAAGCATAATGTTAGAATATTGAGAGCCACCCAGAGTCAGTTGTTCCGAATGAGTTTGGCTCCAAACTAGGCAAGTTGCTAATTCATATAACTCGGGCGAGTCTGTGTCAAACTTGCAAGGTTGCAATTCACTACACAGACCTATCACATCCTATTCTCATCCTTTTTATTTCATCTCAAATTTATTACTTTTATAGCTTTTGTACACCACTAAGGAAAGGCCCTATGTTTTGATTGTATATATAGATGGGATCCCACATGAAGAAGGCAATATTCGAAGAACAAACCACGAAGGCTCTCAAGAAATGGCAAAAAGCAGCTAGAGCAAGGAAGAAACAGAGAGAGGCAGGGGTGGAGATGCCCTCAGGTTACATGAGTAGTGAAAACACACCAAGTCGAGGTTCTTCACCAATACACCTACTCCATAAATATAACAGAAGAGCTACTGATGTAGAGAGCATAACAGCTTCCCCAAATTCATATACATCAGACAATGACATATCCGATATTGAAAATTCACACTACGAACATATGATGCACAGCACAGAGCCAAGGGGATCAAGCAATGAGCACCCAATTCATGGCCAAACGAGGAGTAACTCAGAGCCAAGAGCATTGGACATGGAGCCTCCAACACTGGGACATTTGAGACACAACTCAGAGCCAAGGAGTTATGATCCCTCAGTCAAGGATGGAGATGGCGATTTCTCCTTTGTTCAGCCTTGAAACAAGAAAAAGAATGAATGAGAATCCTAAAGGAGGAAGGTAATAGATGTATACAATGAAATATTGATAAAAGTTGCTTGATATTGTTTAGACCAAAGGAATCATTGATTTATTAACTTGATTAATTTTTCAATCACTCCTCACATTAGTGTTACTTTCAAATCAAGACGAACAATTATTCATATTGATGAGGATCATCAGAAGTAAAACATATATGGAGAAGATACCAATTGTTTCAGCAATTGTTTCTTTTTTTAAAAATGACATTATTTAGCTATTAAGCCTAGATCGGACCACCCAGCCTAGCCGATCAAATTGCCAACTTGTGTTTTTTAAAGCAAAAAACCGAGCTTCATTGAAAAATATGCCGAGACTAATATGTGACATGTTTTGGCCAGACATTCCACTCATTTTGATTAGCAAATCAATTAAACCAAGTTAGGCGTTTTTTATAATATATGTTATATGTTAATTAATATTTTTTTCTTCTTTAATTTTTGAAAATCCGATATTTCAAAACAAATATAAGATGTACTATGCTTGTGGTAAAGATAATCTAATAATGAAAAACATTGACTATCAAACACACAAAAAGGCAAAGGAAAAGTCTAACTCTTTTGAATATTATCAACATGTATATTTATTACAACCAGAGGTAACTTGCATCGCAACTTAACTTGCACATCAAGATAAGATACAATAAGTAACTTGTTATACATGATATATATAAGATCTTCAACTATCTCTACACTCCCCCTCAAACTGAGGTTGGTTGAACAACATCAGTTTGTCAATGAGATAGTCATAACGAGTACAAGTCATTGCCTTGGTAAAAATATCTACAAGTTATTATTGTGACGTAATATGTGGGAGTGTAACTTCTCCAGCCATGAATTTTTCACGAATGAAATGACAATAAACTTCTATATAATTTGTGCGGTCATGGAAAACTGGATTTGACGAATGAAATGAGAATCAACTTCTATATAATTTGTGCGGTCATGGAATACTGGATTTGATGCAATGCATATAGCGCTCATATTATCAACATACAATGGTGTAGGAGTTCAATGAAAAATATTGAGATCATGTAAAATACCACTCAACCAAGTGATTTTACCGCAAGCTGAGGACATTGCTCGGTATTTGGCTTCTATATAAGATTTCGACATAGTTTGTTGTTTTTTTACATTTTCATGATATAAGAGAATCTCCAAAAAATATACACCACCCAGTGGTCGAGCACCGAGTATCTGAGCAGCATGCCCAATCCGCATCAGCATAGGCTCGTAATTGGAGAGAATAGTTAGAGGAGAAAAATAGGTCTCTATGGCATGTAACCCGCCGATAACAAATGATATGATGGGGATCTGTAACAAATTGGCTGACGACCTGTACTGCATGAGATATATCAAGACGAGTCATAGTAAGATAAAGTAGACTGCCAACAGGAATAAAGTAAACTGCCAACCAGTAAGATAAAGTAGACTGCCAACCAGTTGTCTATAAAAAATGGGATATGGAAGTTTGTTCCCAGCATCTTTTTTGGTTAACTACATATCAATTGGGGGAATAATGAATCTTTAGGCCAAGAAAGTAAGTCAACGGACCCAATTCTTTCATTTTGAATGAGTAACTGAGAAACTCTTTCAAGTGATGTATATTATTAAGGTTGTCTCCTGTGATGAGAATATCATTAACATATAAGAGAAGGATTGTTATTCTTGAAGAACAATGGTAGGTAATTAGTAGATAGTCATGAGCGCTTTGTTTTAATCCAACATTCAAACCTACCCGTCGAAACCTTTCAAACCAAACTCTTTGAGTTTGTTTTAAACCATACAAGAATTTTTCTCAAATGACATATCATAGACTTATCATAGTAATACCCAGAAGGAGGTCGTATATATACTATCTCTTTCAAATATCCATGAAGAAATATATTTTTTACATCCATCTGAGATATAGTTCACTGACGAACAGCTGTGAGGGTAATTACAGTGCACACAGTGGTCATTTTAGCAACATGAGCAAATGTTTCATCATAATATATGTCATACTCTTGTTTGTAACCGTGAGCAACTAGTCGTACTTTATATCGCTCAATCCCTCCATCAGATTTAAGCTTCACAAAAAAGACTCATTTACTTCTAATAATCAATGTGTGAGGAGGGCACAGTACAAGATCCCAAGTGTCATTTTCCAACAAAGCCTTTATTTCTGCATCCATGACCTCTTTCCAACATAACATAGTCAAGGCTTGCTGATAGGTGGAAGGGATATCAATTGAATCTAAAGGGAAAAATAATGATCTAGGAAGTCAACAAAGATCTAGGTGTTTGGAAGAAATCTTAATAGTACCAAGAGAAGTAAAAAAGCTCTAGGTTATAGTGAAAAGTCAAAATCATCAAGGGAAAAGCCTTATCAATCAGGTGAATGAGTTACACGTGAAGAATGTCGTAAATGGGTAGAGTTATCAACAGAAATAAGATTAGGAGAAAAGATGGAGGGATATAATCACTTACAAGTCGTGTAGAGGTTAGACATTACTCTGCATGGTGAGATGGAATATGTGTGGATTGGTTTTGTTGGCCTTGCTATTGTTGCACCAAAAGTTGTGATGATTTATCAGTGGTACTAGCATATGAGAAATCTGAAAATAAATGAGCAAAAAACCATATTGATTTAGCAATTGAAGAATAATAAAAGAGGCTTTCCAGAAAGATGACATTATGAGAAATACGTACATGACAAACTGTTGGATCATAACATATAAATCCTTTTTAGTGAGAACAGTAACCCACATAAACACAAGTGGCTGCTTGAACAGAAAATTTTGTTCTTTCATGCTGAGGAAGATGAACAAAATAGACGCATCCAAAAATATGTAAGAGATAATACTCAGGATGAACATAAAATAATGAATAATATGGAGATTCTTTATCCAAAACCGAGGACAGGAAACGATTTACAGTTGTTGATGCAACTTCAACTAAAATATTACAAGGAATATGAGAGTCATGCATAAGGGTTCTAACAATTTCTAGGATATAGCGGTTTTTCCTTTCAACTATGTTATTCTGTTGTGGAGTACAATGACACGTTTTTTTGTGATTGAATACTTTGAGTTTTCAAATATTCTTAAAAATCATGTGATAAGTATTCCCCCTCGGAGTCCAACCATAAGATTTTTACTTTTATACCAAACTGAGTTGCAACCATGGATAAAAACGTTTTAGAATGGGAGAACATTTTGGATTTATAGCGCATAAAATATATCCAGGTATAACACATATAATCATCAATGAACAAAACAAAATACTCATATCTCATTCTGGATAAAATTGGAGCATGACCCTATACATAATTATGAATAAGATAAAAATATACAGTTGCTTTATCTACTAGAGCAGGAAAAGACAAATTGATGTTTTTATTCAAAGAACAACTAATACAATATTTATTGATAGAATTTAAAGCAAGTGTTTTATTAGGCAATAAACTAGAACGAAACAAAGTATCTAATTTATTTGTATTCGGATGACCAAGTCTCCGATGCCACACATGCTATTGTTTATTAGAAAAAGAAAAGTCAGAATCCGATGGAGAAAAGAAAAAAGCATCACGGTTTGGTTTTTTAAACTTTAAGGCAAACAAACAACCAATTCTATGCTCTTTCCTTTTCACTGTCACAATACGTAGGTCCTGTATTACACAACTATCACAAGAAAATTGAACATTTTAACCATCATCGACAAATTCGCCCACAAATATTAGATTAACAGTTAATTTAGGAACCAAAAGAACATTAGGTAAATGAAAATGTGTAGGGGTGACACGAAATGACAAATTATCAGTACCACTAATATTCAGTTTCTCTCAATTAGTAGTGAGAATCTGACTATTACATTAGTATGGTTTAGTAGATGTTAGACTCGGGTATACTCTAGTGATATGATTAGAGGCACCCGAGTCAATAAACCAAAGGGGATTCACTCTAAGGGTTAGGTGAGATTTTGTGTCAGACAAGCTCATGGCGGAGAAAGCAAAAGAGATAGCCATAAACACAGAGTTTTGTACCAACTGTCAAATATCGTTTGACATAGCTAATGTCTGGGACACTGTTGTATTTGGGTCATGAATAGTACTTGGTGGAGGAGTCTCCACCATTAGTCCCTTGGATGCATCATTAGTAGCTTGGTGTGCCCTGTAAAAAGGTTTTTGTGTATCTAATGTCCGGTTGCCTCGTTGAGAAATATCTCGTCATTCTGTGATAATATGCCCAGGACGTTTACAATAATTACAAAATAAAATTCTTCTTGCAATGGGATGTTATATGACCATAATTTTTACATTCATAACATTGCAGCGAAGATGAGCCATTTTGTGATGGTTTTCTTCTAGCCTGTTGAGCCACAGGACAGGCTAAAATATCCTTCTTTCCCTCAATGATGGCATGTGTTGTAATTCTTGTCTCCTCACGAAGTAATTCACCCAGGATGACATCCATAGTGGCTAATATTTCGCAATTCAAAATATTGACTCGGATGATATCATATTCTAGCCACAATTTCATTAGAAATTGCATTACCTTCTTGTTATCATTTATTTTCTTTAAGCTTTTAATGCAACATGCACTGGTGACAGCCTTCAAGTTTACAGATTCATATTTTGTCCACAAGTTCATAAAACTAGTATAATATTCATGGATGTTTTTCTCCCCCTGTCTATAAGTAACCATATCATACTCAATTTGGAAGCGTCTTGCAAGATTTGATTGCTGATAAACATTTTTCAAATATTCCCACATTTTTTTCGTAGTGCGGAAGCCTCTCATTGGCCTTCCAATGTCCAAATCCACAGAGCTAAGGACCCATGAGACAATTTTAATATTGTTGGGTATCTTTAATGTTATGTGTATCAGGTTCTGGTTCAGTTCCATCAACATACTCCCACAAACTTTTTTCTTCAACAAAAAATTGAAAATGGAAGCGCCAATCTGGATAGTTTTTCTATCAAGTTTTGTGGCTA